TACCCTGGCGTGTTCTATCTTGATAGAGCATGGTTGTTAGAGCACAGTTAGTCATGGTGTATCAAAATCAAAAACACGGTGTACATCAAACTTTAAGGAAAAACACCGCAGCAATGATACAAGAATCATTCTTATGTCTATCTCATTTAAGAAACGGGTGCAGCTTTCCGCCATTGCTGAAAATAAACCGTTCTGTATAGTAGATATTTTGCAGTTATTGTACAGTTTCTGTTTCATTTGCATAAGAAATGCCCACAAATAGTTTTCTGTATCGCAGTTATTGTACAGTTAACTTTAAAGGAAAACTTGCCGGTATGTCACAAAGATGGCTTAAGGTATTTCCTCCCTCACAATTTCATGGGTTCAAAGTAGAAAAACTGCATTTATTTTCACTGAATATACAATGTACTTCAAATTAACTAATAATCGCAAAAGAAAAAAATATATAAGTTGCCATATTTTTTACGTTGTAAGAATAGATGAACAGGAGTATATCAGCATAAAATTGTACATTTTTAAAAACAGTATTATAAAAATTATGTAAAAACTGGTTCAAATACATAATTCTGATGCTGGAAGTTCCAAAATAATGATTACTTGTACTTTATAAATATGTTTGAATTGTGAATATCAGGGAAACCATTTTAAATTACAAAACAAAAATGTCTGAATGAAGATACATGTGGAGTTACTGCCCTTATCAACATTAATTAATTAGAAAAAGAAACTATTCAATTTTTTAATAATTCTTTAACTAGACAAATTTTTATTTGACCAATTGAAAAGCATTCTGCCAAAAGATATATTTCTATTGGGTATGAATTGAAATTAATAACAGATTTTGCAAAACCCTCTGACATCACAGGAGGGTGGAAATACCTCAACTGACCTAAAAAAAAACTTTTTTTTTTTTTTTTTTTTTTTTTTTTTACATAATTCTGGAATTTACGTATACGTAATCATACTCATATCTTACTTATGTGGTGAAATCTATGGTCTTGGATCCACATACTAATCCCTTACTGAATATGTTATTATAATTTTTTTACCATTTAATATAAGTTTAATATGATAAGTGGAAAAAACTAATAGATGTAAAAGTTAAACAGTATTTAACAGTGAATGGTACTTAACTATTAGCAAATGTAAAGGTATTTTACTGTATATCACTGTATCACTGTATATTTATTTTAATGGGGAAAAAATGGTTGAAGTTAAAACTAAAAATCTGGTAATCAGTCAAAGTCTTTGAAACTTTTCATAATATGAACATGTATGTTTTTTTTATGTACTTGTACTTTAGTGAATGTTTTTGGACAATGCTCTAAACATAAGTCTGTTACAGCTCTTAATCATTAAGTTATTTATCTAATGTACATGTAAAATGCTCTTGATAGTTCTACTGTATTAATTTACATGTAGATATCATTAGGGGAAAAAGAACTATATGCACACTTTGGGTCAAAATCCTTTTTTTTCAATTTGACTCTTAACAATACTAAAACTGGTATTTAATTAGCATGTTTTTATTTACTTCATTAAAAACTATTAAAGGTAAAGGGTGCTTATAAAGATTTTTCTTGCAGTACTAAATATACTTCATTAGAAATTTGATTTGATGTGAAAAGTATAACAGATACTAGCATAATTAACACTTCTTTATTCAAATTATAAAAACATGTACGAGTAAAGGATTTAAAATCCTAAAATAGTTTCACTGAGATCTGATCATTATTTTTAATTTTCATCAAAGAAGTCAGTGTTAATTGATCAGCAAAATATCTTCAACTTCACTTCTGATACAGATTTTTCATTTAAACCAATATTATTCCAATTTATACTTTAAATTTTTTGTCGACTGCAGAGCAGAGCGGCACTTAAGGACCACTTTACCTGACGTCTGTCTGTCCATCCGTCTGTCTGTCCGTCTGTCCACCTTATATCTTGAGAACTGTAAGAGGTATGGATTTGATATTTTGCACATATATTCCTTGGCACTACGGCTTTCGCAAATTACTGTGGTTTACGACTTCGTGTCCCTTAACCTTGGCCTTTGACCTACTTTTAAAAATATATCATAGTGCCGATATTTATGACATTTAAGAGGTAATTCTATGCAATTGAGTATGTGCACTGTTTGTCATTGAATATTATTAACAAGATGTGTTTGTGAAACACTGATGCCCCCGTGTAGCAATTAATCTTTTATTATACTTTCATGTTAAAAACTAAAATCTGATTGGTTTAGACGCATATAACAATCCGTAATGTTACCCTCAGCGTTAGCAACACACTTGGCAACGGGTAACATTACGAAAATGTACGTTACATGCGTTCAAATCATGCGCGTACGGTTCACCGTAGAATTCTCAGAACGTCAGTTGTGCGTTTGAAAGAAGTCGAATAAACGACGTCAATAAAAGCTTTCGTCCGATGTAGCTTACTTGAAAACAACAAACGACAGACGAAACATCCTAGCGAGTGCAAAATTTAGATGATAAAGGACTTTTTGAGTAGCAAACAAACAATAAAGAGGTTGGTAAATCTTTTCCAAAGCTTTCTTATTGAGAAAAATAGAAGCGGGGAGTTTGAGAGCTTTCTAAGAGTGAACTTAACGACGATCTCCGAATTTTTTTTTAATGACATCCGAAATCAATAAGACATTCAGTATAATAAAATAAATAGTGCACGTTTTTGAGGGTAACAGTTGAAATTGACACCCCAAGGAAAACCATTGTCAACCGACGCGTCAGCGTCGGTTGACAATGGTTTTCCTTGGGGTGTCAATTTCAACTGTTACCCTCAAAAACGTGCACAATTTATATAATAGCGAAGGTTAAACTTTCTCAAATGCAAATCAAATATGTTGGTACCCAAAGTAAGTTCTTGTCCCAAGGAATATACCTGTGAAATATGAAAGCCCTAGCAGCAACCATTAAAAGGATATGAAAAAGGTTAAAAATTTTCAAAGGTAAGTCAAACATCAAGGTCAAGGTCAAATGGTCAAAATTAATGGTGCCCAAGGAAAGGCCTTCTCACAAGAAATAAACATGTGAAATATAAAAGCTCTAGCACCAAACGTTCAAAAGATATGGCCAAGTTTAAAGTTTATGAAAAGTAGGTCAAACTCCAAGGTCGAGGTCAAAAGGTCAAAGTTGTTGGTATCCAAAGTAAGGTCTTGTCACAAGGATTACATATGTGAAGTATGAAAGCCGTAGCACCAACTGTTCAAAAGTTATGGCCAAGGTTAAGGTTGGAAAAATTTTTGTAAAACTGGGTCAAACTCCAAGGTCAGGGTCAAAAGGTCAAATATGATGTTACCCAAAGAAAGGTCTTGTCACAAGGAATACACATGTGAAATATGAAAGCCATAGCTCCAACCAATCAAAAGTTATGGGCAATGTTAAAGTTTTTGAGGACAAACAGACAGACAGACAGACAGACGGAAGGACAGGGCAAAAATTATATATCCCCGAATTTTCGATACGGGGTCATAAAAATACCAGTGTTATAATCTACTTGACCTTAACCTTTGACCTACTTCGCTAAAAATACCCCAGGCAGTTTAATCTACAGTATGATTTTTGAATTTTAAGAGGCAAAGTTTTGGTAATTTGAATTTATACATGCCGTTGAGCTCATCATATTCTTTTTTCAAACTGTATGATATTCAGTTACCTCACAAACTTATATTTAAATAATATGAAAATACATAGGGATCTTTATTCTACAATGGATCATGTAGACTGACAATTACAGTAAAGACAGACTAAAATTTCTTTTTGAAGATCGTAGGAAACATGTATTAATAGAATGATAAACAATAATTTTTAATAAAAATCCTTTCAATTTAATTATTCATTGAGGGTTGAGGAACCATATTTTTTTGAGCGTCAGATTTTATCGTAGTGTAATACTATCTCTGGATGTTTTTTTTCTTCTCTGCAGGCAACTGCATGATCTATCATGCTAGTAGTAAATATATTGTTTACCACTCTTATTAGATTTATTTTACATCTTTAATGAAGCTACAGAGCAGGCAACACATGCGTTCCTTGGAACACTCTAGTTGCTATACTTGTAAATATAGTAAAACACATTTAAACTGAAGTGCCAGGACACAGATGATTTGCACTGTTATAAAAGTAATTCGTTATATCCATCACATTCACAATATATTTTAAAGCCATGGGAAATGAAAATCACTTTACTGTAAGTATCAATTCGTTATATGTAAATTTGCTATGAACGTGTCTTACTGCATTTTCTTTTCATTTAAAACTTGCTTTTTAGAAACTTCTAATGAAACTTTTTTTTTTTTATATCTGACTAATCCCAAAGAATATTCCTTGACTTCACAATTAACAGCTAATGGCCATTTCCAACCATACTGGTGCTAGACACTCACAGGTGTTAATTTTAAGATAACCAGTTTTTTTTTAATTCTTCGACACTAAAGAACGCGACTCCTTCAGTTTAGGCCATTCCAAGTTTTTTCTCTGTTTAGCATCCACCCATCTTTCAAAAACCTACCTACCTATTCGCAAAAAACAAACAAGTCAAAAAATAAAACACAGACTTTATAGTTTTTAAAATGATGTCATACAAAGCATTTCATTTCATTAATCTATTTTTCTTGTAAAAAATTTATTCTTTAGCAAAATTCAGGTATTTAATGCTTAAAATATACAAAATATGGCATATTGTAAATTAATACTTAGAGATATTGACAGAATTGAAAGATTTTGACCAGAATAATCAATTTCAGGACTCCTGATTTTGTTTGTTTTTTCTCATATGGGGTGTCAAAAACCAAGGCACACGCAGATGCTAAAACATAGAAAAAACTTGGAATGGCCTTATTATATAATATTTACTGGGCGTGATAATTAACATTCAAAGGTAGTACATATCAAATGTCAAATTTTCATCTTTCAAAAATATTCCACTTTTAAAATGTCTTTATCATAATAGAATTCTCTAGCCATTTTTAACCTAACCTTCCCACTTCCAAATTTCTCTACTGTGTCTATCCATGCTGCAGGAGCTCCAGGCACAGTCACTGAATGTCCATGTGTCTGGGCAGGAAATGGCTGAGTCATGGAAAATCCCTGTGAGTGAAGCAATTCTACAGTCAGCTTAGAAGGGGCTCTACCACTGGAAAATGAATCAAAGTTTAAACTAAACTTAATAATCTGGATCCCATTTTACATAAAAAATCTTACGACTAGTACAAAAATGTAACTTACAAAATAACTTTTCTTTTTTTTTAACATAAATATGAACATGGTTTTAATCTTTTTAAAAGGATATTACACAGATAATTTATACAGGCAATTTTAAACAGAAACATTATTTTTGCAAAATTTTAAAAGTTTTTGGTCATAGTCATAACTATTTTTGTAAAACGGGACCCTGTCATTCTGAAATAAAATATTTATAAGCATAGAAACATTAGCATCAGAAAGAATTACTCTGTTTATTATCTCAAATTACATCAAATTGGTTGCTGGTTTATTTCCAAGTAAATTAATCTGGTTTTAACACACCATTTGATTGGCTGAAATAATATGTTTATACCATTAACATGTATCCTGTCTACATCACAATTTGATAAATGTCAAAAACATATTAATTTTACTTGACATTACAGAATTTGTAGTCATTTTTGAGGGGAAATTGGATTTTTTTTTGCCCTACATGTTAGAAAATTACTTTGTAACTAAGGAATAAATGTAATAGCCACCCAAGTTATACTGTACTTGTATAACCTGCATAGGAACCGTTTATCTCTTCATAGATTAGATCGATCTGTTGATAGATAGATAGATAGATAGATAGATAACAATGCTAATTATAATATTTTGTAGCATGGCCTGACCTTCCATTGACACTGTGCACTTCATTTGCTTTGGAATCATAAAATAGACAGAAAGCATCTCCTCCAATCCCTGTAGAGCAAGGCTCTGTTACATTTAAGGCTGCTGCCATAGCAACAGCAGCATCAGCTGCATTGCCTCCCTTTTTGAGAATACCTGGAGAAAGAAAATCAAAACTATTTACTTTAACTAATTCATAAATTCTAAATACAATGTATTGAGATATTTATGCTTTGATATGGCATGCTGAGAGCTGCTGTATACTTCAAAGACAATATTGTGAGATGTACAGGAATTAGATTTTAATGAGATATGGACAGTTTTCAAATGTAAAATTTGCCCAAAATTTATTATAAAATCAACACAAACTATGTCTTTTGATAAAAAGATATATTTTTTACATTAGAAGACAATTAATGCATTAATCATGTATGTATGTGATATTAATTTTAAAAAAGGGTATTTTGCCATTCTTGGTTTAATAGCACAACCACGAATGGACTCAGAACCCCTAAAATTCTGATGATTTGAATCAATTTTATGATAAATTAAAAACATGATCCTAATTTTTGTTTAGAAAATTAAATCTATAATTCACTATAAAGTATAAGTCCCTTTTAAACCCTTCATTATGAGTAATTTCTTTTTTTTCAGCTGGATATAGTTTAATTATACAGTGTATATACAGTGTACATACATGAATTGTATAATTATGAAATTATAATGAACATGAAATTTATTTTTATCCTGCAATAACAAAAATCAGGCAGGCTTTACTCATTAAATCATAACAATAGTGCTCTAACCACAGGCTGCTTAATGCAGATGACAGTACATGCACCTATAGGCAGGAATCACGTATTCTTTACTTGTTCATGTTCTGTTGCTTAACACATTAAATATTTTTCATAAACATAATTTATAAAGACTACATTCTTGAACTTTTTTTTTAATATCTCGGGTTCGACGTCCTCATAATTCTTAATTCGTTTTAGCAAGTAGTGTTGTTTCGCTTTGTTTGAGGCTTATGTTGTGATAATATGTTCTTATGAAATAGGCATTAAAATAACTTACCAATGCCAATTTCTGAGGCTAAATGTTGGCTACTTGCCACACAACCTTTCGTACAAACAACACATGATCTTCTGGAATTGAAATCGACAGACATCGTTCTAAATAAAGTGTGTGGGTGGGAATAACGATCCCGATATGGCCACATGTATCGCACATGTAAGCGTATTAGTAAAATATCCCAAAAAAGTAAGCACAAATTAGTTACGCTTTATTTATCTGAATTATTTGCAAAGAATTGTGGGTTTGCCCATAACTTCCTTAATTTAAATCTTTGTGGTTTACATAAAGTCAAACTCAATTTGACTACATCATATGTTAATGAAGCTCTAAACACTAACAAAAAGCGATTTTTGGAATTGGAGAAAAATACATCGTAATATGCTGACGGTGCGACCGTTGGGGCGAGCGCATTGTTCACTTTATTTTAAGACCCGCCTCTTCAAACCGCACGAGACATTTGGAACGTCTAGACTGTGACGTCTCATGACGTCATATGTTAGCTGCATTTCCATAAACAAAGTTTAAAAAGTGCAAATATTTTAACAAAGAACGTTTAATCTACTATCTGCATGCAATATCCATTAAACAGTTAAATTAAGGTGAGTTTATTTTTTGAGAAATTTTAGTTGTTGCTACCGCGTGAATGAAGTTAGCAGCGAGAACAAGAAGCGATGCATTGTGGGTCCAGAATTACTGCGGAAAAAAAATTGTATTGAATGAATGTGCAGTAGTCCGAATTTTCTCTTCGCCCAGGCGTTGTCGTTAGAGCTCGCAGTGACGAGCGGCGCTTCGCGCTGCTCGCTGCGCTCGCTATAAAGCTGTGCATATTGAGATTATTTAGTTCATTTTCAACATAGGGTACCTGCCTTATTTCTGCAGGAAGAATGTTCAAAGACAATAGCCTATTTGTGAGCAGAAACCCCTATATAGCGCTGTTGTTTACTTACATTGGGAAAATTAATGGAAATAATGAATTCAATCACTTTTTCTTGGTCTAATATAATGACAAGAATATTTTAATCTATTATACATTGTGTAATTAACTGAAAGTAACCATTTTTTCTGTCTTACATCTGAGGAAAGATTACTCTAACTGCATAAAACTACCCTTTAAGTAGAACTCTTTAGTGTGCAGTGTTTAGAGCTTCCTTAAATTGACACATATTATAAAAAATAATCATAGGGGGGGGGGGTTCATTTTAATCCTTGTCATTCACTTTCAGACAATGCAGATACTTTTATTATACGCACTATTTAAAACAAGATTCTGTACAGATACATATATTTTTCAGCAGTTTATAACACAGAAACTTGTTTTGGTAATAAAGTTTTAACCCACAGTATAATAATAATACAAGGTATCCAACTCCGAATTATTTGGAGTACCCCCCCCCCCTCCCCAGAATTGCGCTCATTTCAGAGGAAATGCACTGGCAGACCATTTATTAGTGTTTATTACCATTGTCTTCTACGATAATTTATCAACACAATATATGCTTGTCTTTATTTTCCGTAAACTGCGTCAAAGCTTTGCTCGCCGACTTGAAAATTCGTCTCATTATAGAAATAATGTTCTGTCGCCATTTGATGTTACATGTATCTACTTATCTCTGTGGTCACACATCTTTTATGTTTGCCTTTTAGTTTACAGAAGAAATCAAATTTGAATTTCTTCTTGGGAAATTTTTATTTTGTACTTTGGACTTAAAACCCATGTTCTGTGAGCCATTTTTCAGTATTCAGAAGTACTAGTGCCAAAATTTGCAATAACACCAGCCGCATTAACCATTAATGATTACACTTTTAAGATGTAAAAGTTTCAGCTTAGAGTGACAGACAAGTCAAGCATTTTATGTAATATTGAACCTAAAAAAGCAGGATTTCAAATAAACTATACATTTGAAAATAGTTCGACAGAAATCACTACACACCATAATAAATGATGAACGTGTCAGCTCAGAATAACAGACATGTAGTTTTATAATAATAATGGCGAATTTAATTGAAAAACGAGGAATGTATTGTCTCCGAGATAGTTAGAGTACAATTTCCACTTCTCTTGCTCAGGGACTTCGTACAAAAAAAAAATAATAATGATATGTCCAACACATACAGTCCATCAATTTGAACTTCATTACTAATGTTATCTTCCCTGAATAAGTTGTGCTGAAGAATAAAGAATATTTTTATTCTATAAATACAGATTATTTAAGAAATACCTATATCTAGTTTATTTGGCGATTGCTTTGAAAAACGATGTGCACCAAGAACATATATTAAAAGTTAGACCATATTCAATAAAATTTAAGCAATTAATAAGGGTGAAGACAGGAAAGTGACTGAATCCCTTCTTAACTGCTAAAATTTTACTTAATATGACCTATCTTACCTAGACATTAAATCGCCTTTTCATTGGCTGATCGAAAGTTCGGTGCTAATCGATTAGGTTTTTTTCTTCTCTTTCAAAGCTGTCAATCATAAATTTCCGGCACAGAATAAGTGAAACTCTTTATAGAATATTTAGCTATTGCTGGTGTAACGAAAAAGTGGTTTGTTAATATAACCCCATAAAACTGACTCTAACATTTTATATATTTTACATTTGAACCATTTATTGACCCAAAACTTTTCCAATAATAGTCTATGAAATACACTTGTGACGTCACATTAAGAGAATATGTAACTGGTTTGATGCAGTCTAAGCACATGTATACAATGTAATCACTAATTATTCGTTGCAAGGATTCCAACAAATTAATAATAAGGTCATCAGTTGGCCTTTACGCCAAGTACTGGGAGAAAAAGTCTAAATATCTGTTTTAAGTGTCATATTAGCCGGCGAATGTCGTGGAAATTTTAAAACACTTGACGAACGCCGTGAAATTGGTTGAGATAATATTAAGGACACGTGTTTATATCTATTGGTATCTTTTCCGAACATGCATCCGCACTGAATACAACATTTCCAAAGATTCTGAAAGGCTACTCTGTAAGTCCTGTTCCTCCAGTAGTAGATACCGGCGTTTGTAGCGCTGTTACTGATGGAAAGGAGGTGAGCCAGGGCCCAGAGCACGTGCATTGACATGGAATCGTAAATAGATGGGTGGGCATCACCAACAATGCTGATCACATGGAAAGGTAGCCATGATAGGAAGTAGTTTAAAACGATTATAATCAGCATCTGCAGCATCTGTAAACAAAGAAAATTGAGATAATTATGTGTGAAATGATATATAATCACTGATTAGCAAGTACTGGAAATGAGGGACATTTATTTTATTTTTCTTAATCCTCTATGTCTTAGTTTTTATCATCTTAAAAGTACATGTACTTGCTTCAGTGACTAACCCCCCAAGCAAGTCACATTGCTTTAAAGTAAGTATGGTAGCATTCTTCACTTACTCTCTTTTTGGATCGTCCTCGTCTTTCATCTCTTTTTTTGTTCGCCTCCCCGGGTGTCCTCTTTGTCCACACAATCACTGCGATATGTGAGAAGGTCAAGAACATCAGTAGTAGGGGAATAAAGTACTGTATTAACATAATGACAATTCCGTAGACACGACGTAAGGATTCATTGGACCAGACCTCAAAACAGAGGCCTTTTGATCCAGGTTCATAGGGTAAATAAACAATTTTTGAAAATATTGCCACAGGGAGAGAAAATAGGAAAGAAAAAGACCAAATACCAGCAATCACAAGTTTTGCCTGCTTCAAAGTAAGGCGTTGGCTGAAAGGTTTTGTTATCACAAAATATCTATCGCACGTCATCGCAACCAGCGTCAGAGCTCGAAGCAGATTAACCATCAACTGTAGTAGTGAAATGACTGGGCACAGAAAGGGTCCAAAAGGCCAGTACATAAAAACTAAGTTACTCAATACCGTGAACGGAACACTAAAGACCGTAACTAAAACATCACTTGCAGCAAGACTACACATGAAAAAATTTGTTACTGTGGGTTTAAGAAACCGAAAACCAATCGCCAAGCAAACGACTCCATTTCCTAGACATGACAGGACGAAGAGTGTCACGTACGACACTAAAACACTCGCTAATAACGCCTTTGGAAGCTGATACTCATCAATAGAGTACTCAACATTTGATGTCCAGTTAGCAAAAGTTGATTTATTCGTCAAAACTCCTGAAGTGCTTTGTAGCACATCCAGAGTTTCGTCATAAATGCTTCTGTTCGAGGAAAAAGACATGCTGTTGTCAAGCTTTGGAGATTATTAAGCTTATGCTTTGCAGAGATGCCTTCGTATTTATAAGCAGACAAAAGCTTTGATTGGTTATCTTCTTTTAGCTATATCTTAGTATCAAATTCAATTAAGGTAAATTAACACATTTTGAACAGTATTATATTTGTATATGTCTGTCTCGCAATAATCAACAATTGTCGCTGAATTTATTGAAAAAGAATAAAAATAAATACCTATCCTTTTTAAAACTTAGAAAACAATATACTGATGAAAGAAGCATGAAGTGTCAAAAATAAGATAAAATTAGCATGCCACGGACTTCTGATTAAACAGTCATTTTACAAAAAAAAACATGCCCAATTAAGGATTTTTTATGTCGCTTACAAATTAAACGTTGTAAAATCTTAACTGTAATTTTAAAGATTGATGCAATGCTTATATTTTACCTCGACCTTTGACCTTTTGACCTTTTTTCAGTCATGAGAAGTTATGATACAGATATCATTGCAAAAACTTATGACTTAGAAATATCATTCGACAACTAAAGTTGTCAGATAGACAGAATAGAACACGGACAGACCCAAATTGATTACCCCGTTTTTAACAAAAAGGGGGAAAATTGCCAACGCCTGAAGTTTAGTCTTTACGAACAAACAAGAATCAATTTTCATAGCAACAACTACCATATATTCAGCACAGTGCTAATTTTTTAAAAAAAATATTATACAGAAAATTTATTAACATAACCAATAGAATTATTGACATAAATTATAATTCAAACAATATAGGATTGACTATATAAATTATTTTGTTCATTGAGAAATGAATCTAAAAAACGAATCGCACACTTTATGAAAGCCGAAGGCTTTCATAAAAAAGTGTGCGATTCGTTTTTTAGATTCATT